CTGGGCAACAAGAGTAAAACTCTGTCATGAAAAAAAAGAAAAAAGACAAGCTACATTCCATGGAGTCAGAGACAACCCTTCAAGGTCCATTTTCCAAAGTTTCCACATTTATACAGGGAAGAAGTTATTCACTTCTTCATTCAAAAGATATTTATTGGTCAGGTGCAGTGACTAACACCTGTAATCCCAGCATTTTGGGAGGCCGAGGCAGGTGGATCACTTGACATCAGGAGTTTGAGACTATCCTGGCCAACACGGTGAAACCCCAGGTTGGAGTGCAGTGGCATGATCTCGATTCACTGCAACCTCCACCTTCCGGGTTCCAGTAATTCTCCTGCATTAGCCTCCAGAGTAGCTGGGATTACAGGCACGCGCTACCATGCTTGGCTAACTTTTGTATTTTTAGTAGAGACGGGATTTCACCACGTTGGCCAGGCTGGTGTCAAATTCCTGACCTCGTGATCTGCCCGCCTTGGTCTTCCAAAGTGCTGGGATTACAGGCGTGAGACACCGAACCTGGCCCCCGCCTTTTTTTTTTCCTTTTTTTTGAAACGGAGTCTCACTCTATTGCCCAGGCTGGAGTGCGGTGGTGAGATCTCAGCTCACTGCAACCTATGCCTCCTGGGTTCAAGCAATTATCCTGCCTCAGCCTCTCGAGTAGCTGGGACTACAGGCTTGCACCACCACGTCCGGCTAATTTTTTGTATTTTTAGTAAAGATGGGGTTTCGCCATGTTGGCCAGGCTGGTCTTGAACTCCTGACCTAAAGCAATCCACTCACCTCAGCCTCCCAAAGTGCTGGGATTGTGAGCCACCTCTCCCAGCCTCCCATTTTTCAACAGAAGCTTATAGTCTGGATTTTTACAAGATGCACATTTTTAAATGTTAGCAACTAATAAAAAATTTTTAACGTCAGTAATGAGTCAAAATATTTTCTTTTTTTTTTCTTTGAGATGGAGTCTTGCTCTGTTGCCAGGCTGGAGTGCAGTAGTGCAGTCTCAGCTCACTGCAACCTCCGCCTCCTGGGTTCAAGCGATTCTCCTGCCTCAGCCTCCCAAGTAGCTGGGATTACAGGCACGCGCCATCATGCCCGGCTAATTTTTGTATTTTTAGTAGAGATGGGGTTTCACCACGTTGGCCAGGCTGCTCTTGAACTCCTGACCTCGTGATCTATCCGCCTCGGCCTCCCAAAGTGCTGGAATTATAGGCATGAGCCACCACGCCTGGCCAGTTTTTTTTTTTTTTGAGATGAAGTCTCGCTCTGTCACCCTGGCTGGAGTGCAGTGGCATGACCTCAGCTCACTGCAACCTCCACTTCCCAGGTTCAAGTGATTCTCCTGCCTCAGCCTCCTGAATAGCTAGGACTACAGGTGTGTACCACTATGCCCAGCTAATTTTTTGTATTTTTAGTAGAGATGGGGTTTCACTGTGTTGTCTGGGCTGGTCTCGAACTCCTGACCTCTAGCAATCCACCTGCCTCCGCCTCCCAAAGTGCTGGGATTACAGGTGTGAGCTACCACACCTAGCCTTAAAATAATTTTTGACAATGTAAAGATTAAAACAGGCTAGGCAGGGTGGCTCATGCCTGTAATCCCACCACTTTGGGAGGCCGAGGTGGGTGGATCACGAGGTCAGGAGATCAAGATCATCCTGGCTAACACGGTGAAACCCATCTCTACTAAAAATACAAAAAAATTAGCTGGGCGTGGTGGCAGGCACCTGTAGTCCCAGCTACTCAGGAGGCTGAGGCAGGAGAATGGCGTGAACCTGGGAGGCAGAGTTTGCAGTGAGCCGAGATCACGCCACTGCACTCCAGCCTGAGCGACAGAGCGAGACTCCATCTCAAAAAAAAAAAAAAAAAAAAAGATTAAAACAAATCTGAGAGCCAGATCCAGCTATCAGGCAGTCAGTTTTCAACCTTTAAAGAGGATACATTGGAGGGCCTTAAGTGGGAGAGTGTCAGGGTCAAATGTGTGTTTTAGACAGACCATGCTGGGGGCAATGCAGAGGATGGACTGAAAATGAGACTGAAAATACCCGACAAACTTCTCACCGTATGTTGGATGAGGCTTGAACTAGGAAGAAATTAAGTAGTGAATTCATTAATATTTAGGAGTCAGTAAAGCCTGGTTATAAGCCACTAATAGCAATAATAAGATTAATCAGGGGCAGGTATGGTGGCTCATGCCTGTAATCCCAGCACCATGGGAGGCTGAGGCAGGCGGATCACCTGAGGTCTGAAGTTTCAGACCAGCCTAGTCAACATGGCGAAACCTCATCTCTACTAAAAATACAAAAATGGCCAGGCACGGTGGCTCAGGCTTGTAATCCCAGCACTTTGGGAGGCTGAGGCGGGCGGATCACCTGACGTCAGGAGTTCAAGACCAGCCTGGCCAACATGACAAAACCCTGTCTCTACTAAAACTACAAAAATTAGCTGGGCATGGTGGCGGGCACCTGTAATCCTAGCTACTCAGGAGGCTGAGGCAGGAGAATCACTTGAACCCAGGAGACAGAGGTTGCAGTGAGCCGAGTTCATGCCACTGCACTCTAGCCTGGGTGACAGAGGGAGATTCTGCCTCAAAAAAATACGAAAAATTAGCTGGATGTGGTGGCGCACGCCTGTAATCCCAGCTACTCAGGAGGTTGAGGAAGGAGAATTGCTTGAATCCGGGAAGTGCAGGTTGCAGTGAGCTGAGATGGTGCCATTGCATTCCAGCCTGGGCAACAAGAGAAAAACTCCATCTCAAAAAAAAAAAAAAAGAAAGAAAGAAAGAAAGAAAGAATAACACTGATCAATTAATTTCTTTTTTTTTTTTTTTTTTTTTTTTTTTTTTTTTTTTGAGATGGAGTCTGGCTCTGTCGCCCAGGCTGGAGTGCAGTGGCCGGATCTCAGCTCACTGCAAGCTCCGCCTCCCGGGTTCACGCCATTCTCCTGCCTCAGCCTCCCGAGTAGCTGGGACTACAGGCGCCCACAACCGCGCCCGGCTAATTTTTTGTATTTTTAGTAGAGACGGGGTTTCACCATGTTCGCCAGGATGGTCTCGATCTCCTGACCTCATGATCCGCCCGTCTCGGCCTCCCAAAGTGCTGGGATTACAGGCTTGAGCCACCGCGCCCGGCTGATCAATTAATTTCTACAGTGGAAACTACTTCTGGGACTGGAATATAAAAAAAAAAGAATTGGCCGAGGCCGGGTGCCATGGCTCATGGCTGTAATCCCAGCACTTTGGGAGGCCGAGGCAGGCGGATCAACTGGTCAGGAGTTTGAGACCAGCCTGGCCAACATGTTGAAACCCCGTCTCTACTAAAAATAGAAAATTAGCCGGGTGTGGTGGCGCATGCCTGTAATCACAACTACTCGGGAGACTGAGGCAGGAGAATCTCTTGAACCTGGGAGGTGGAGGTGTAGTGAGCCGAGATCATGCCATTGCACTCTAGCCTGGGCAACAAGAGCGAAACTCTGTCTCAAAAATAAAAAAATAAAATAAAAATAAATGAGAGAGACTAATACAGTTGGGAAAAAAAAGATTAGGCAGGACTTGGTGAGTGATTGAATGTTGGCTGGAAAGGAGGCAAGGACGATCCCAGCTCTAACCTGGGTGCATGGAGAGAAGGAGCAGGCCACTTTCCATACACCTACCTTGATATCCTCCTTGGTAAGCCGGGGCCAGGCCACCTTTTCCTTCCATTTCCTCACAAAGCAAGTAATAGAGCGGGAAGAGCGCTTATCCTGGGAGTCCTGCCAGATAGAGAGCCTCATTCTTAGGGTCTGGGGTTTAGAATTAATCTCCAGTTTCCCTGGGCAGCCCGGTTTCCATCCAGACCTTACTGTCCCATCTCACCCTTACCTTGGAGTTCACTTTGGCATAGAACTCAATCTCATTGTATAACTCCACTCCATCGTCATTCTTGCAGCTGAGGAGACAATGAAGCTGAGGAGATGCTGAATACTCTGTGTGGGGACATTAGGAGAAGAGGGAGGTTCCCGGGAAGCCAGGCCCTCAGAGGGGAGGGCCACTACCTGAACACAATGCGGTGATCCTCAATAAGCACGTGGACATCGGTGCTGTCCTCAACACAAAACTCCATGAACACATACTTGGGCCTGTCATACCACAGGGTCCGGGCGTGCTGCCTAAAGAGAAGTTGAGTTGGGGCTTCATAGGGGTGGGAGAGGGAAGACTGAGGGCATTTGCGAAAGATGGAAGCAGGAGACTACCCAGGGATGTTTGATGCCACAGTTTTTTCAAAGTGGAGCTAAATGAGACAGAAGGGGTGAAAGGGAAGGGAATGACAGGAGTGGGTGGGTGTGGTGAGTGTGAACCTGGGAAGAATAGAACGTGCCAGACTAGGAAAGTAGGAGGTCAGGGAGAACATTCAGGTCACACCTTCCTTCACCCCACAGTTACAGAGACCAGGGGTCTGGGGCTTCCATGGGGCCTCACAGAACCTGGAGCGCCCAGAAGACTTGGAGCAGGGAATCTCCAGGGAAAAGGGCCAGGGGGAGCACCGGAGCCGGAAACACTCACCGTGCCATTGCGGCTCCCGCTCCAGGGTGGCATTTAGAGTTCCAGGCAGGGGCCGCTATCTTTAGATCCTGGGGACGCCCCCAGCAGCTGCCTCCCCTTATATGGTCGGGAAAACAGTTGAGAGGAACAGAGAACATGACCTGGCAGCCAAGGGATCTGCACTCTGGAGATACTCTGGGAGAGCTTAATCCTTGCAGCCCTTCACCCTGGGGTCTTCAGAAACGCACAGACTAGGAATAGACAATCCATCTGCTGGAACCAGGGCAAAGGCTGCCCTAGACGCTACACGCAGGGAATGACTTTTCCCCGGTATCATTCACCTGTTTCTCCAAAGCTGTGTGCTCAGTGTCTGATTCACAATAGGTGCTCAATAAAACATTATTGTCCTGAATTAAATCCCCTGGGAAAGGGCACCCTCGGGGACTTCGGAACTTCAGGCTCCGCCCACCACTCCTCTGGGGTTCAGGCCAACACGCCGTTGCCATAGCAGCAGGGGGGGCGCGGCTGACGTGCTGCGGGGTTTCCGGGAAGATGGCGGCTGTCGAAGCGGCTGCAGAGCCGGTAACGGTGGTGGCGGCTGTTGGGCCAAAAGCGAAAAACGAAGAGGAGGAGGAAGAGGAGCCGCTGCCACCGTGCGAGGCGGTGCGCTGGGCCCCGGTGGGGGCGGTGGCGGAGGCCGGGCCTGGAGCAACTGCGTTTTTCGAAGAGACGGCGGCCGAGGAGCCTGGCGCGGTCCCGGGCTCCCCGCCGGATTCGCCGGGCCGGACGCTGCGGCGGCTGCGGGCAGAGCGGCGGCGGCTGGACTCGGCGCTGCTGGCGCTGTCCTCACACTTCGCGCAGGTGCAGTTCCGCCTGCGACAGGTGGTGCGCGGGGCGCCGGCGGAGCAGCAGCGCCTTCTGCGTGAGCTCGAAGACTTCGCCTTCCGCGGCTGCCCTCACGTCCTAGGTTACGAAGGGCCTGGCGACCCCGCCAGCGATGAGGGCGATGGGCTGCCAGGAGACCGGCCACGGTTGCGGGGCGAGGACCAGGTGAGTGGTCGGAGCCGGGCCGCGAGGGATATGGGAATAGGGGCGTCGTGTGGGTGGCAATCCAGACCCGGATGATGGTGCATGAGGGGAGAAGCCTCCCCGACTCGGTTGGTGAGTACGTGTGTCGGAGACCAGGAGACTGAAATGCGGGGCCGGCTGAAGGGCAAGAGGACAGAGGCCTGGGAAACTGAGGGTGAGCGGTGTGCACGAAAGATGTGGAGAGATGCCGGTGCGTGATGACGTGAGAGGTAGAGGAGCGGTGAGCGAAGTGAGTCGTTGAGAGGGTAGCAGAGCAGCCAAGAGCAGTGCTGCGCCCACTCACCTTTACCTCACATATCTAAGTCTTGAACACTTATACTGCTAGAGGACCCCGACTCTGGGGATTGGGAAAATTGGCAAAGGAAAGGACAGTGAGTTGGAATCCATGGAAATTTAGGTTAACTCCCTGTCCCTGCTTTCCTGAAATCTAGGCAGTCTTTACACTTCTCTGGGTGGGAGTTTGGGTTAAACAGCAGGGTCTCTTAGTAACTGAAATAAACACAACTCTTGATTATATAAATTTCCTTATGTTGGAATTTTTTAAGACACGGGGGGAGTCTTGGTATGTTGCCCAGGCTGGTCTCGAACTCCTGGTCTCAAGCCATCCTCCCACCTCAGTCTCAGGACTACAGGCGTGCGTTACCGTGCAGGCTATAATGTTGAAATGTTTAAACTCTTCCTCCATCTTGCTGAATCATTAGGTATTCTGAATGAGGTCCTCTGGTAACTGACAAGATCGATTCAGTGTGCCTACCCCAGAAGTAGTGAAACTATGTATAAGACACCAGGTAGGCCGGGCGCGGTGGCTCAAGCCTGTAATCCCAGCACTTTGGGAGGCTGAGACGGGTGGATCACGAGGTCAGGAGATCGAGACCATCCTGGCTAACACGGTGAAACCCTGTCTCTACTAAAAAATACAAAAAACTAGCCAGGTGAGTTGGCGAGCGCCTGTAGTCCCAGCTACTTGGGAGGCTGAGGCAGGAGAATGGCGTAAACCCGGGAGGCGGAGCTTGCAGTGAGCTGAGATCCGGCCACTGCACTCCAGCCTGGGCGACAGAGCGAGACTCCGTCTCAAAAAAAAAAAAAAAAAAAAGACACCAGGTAAACGTTTCCTTACAAGCTTTGCATCTCTGGAAGTGCACAAAGTGCTGACTTTATTGGAAGTATTGAGGTACACTGCCTTTTCACTTTATTTATTTGTTTGTTTATTTTTGAGACAGGATCTCACTCTGTCACCTAGGCCAGAGTGCAGTGGCGCAATTTCGGCTTACTGCAACCTCTGCCGCCTGGGCTCAAGCAATCCTTCTGCCTCAGCCCGCCCAGTATCTGGTACTACAGGTGTGTGCCACCACACCCAGTTAATTTTATTTTTTGTTAAGACAGGGTTTCACCACGTTGCCCAGGCTGGTCTTGAACTCCTGAGCTCAAACGATCTGCCTTCCTTGGCCTACCAAAGTGCTGGGATTATAGACGTGTGCCACCATGCCCCGTCCCTTTTCACCTTTTTATTCTTCAAACTACAGTCTACTTGTGGCTTTCTTCCTACTTACATTGGTTTTAGCCAAGCAGATTTATCGAGCAGATAATGATCTGTTTATTTTAATCTGAACTGTTTCCAGTGCAATCCTGTGTTTACTGTTCCACCCTTCTTGGTTGGTGAGTATGTGTGTCGGAGACCAGGTACCTACAATTCCTTACGCAAGAAGCACCCACCTCAAACTTCCAGATTTAAGGGCTAGAAAGGAGTGGACAGCACCAAAGGTTCTACGTGATAAGAAACTCTGTTCATTTTCACCTTCAGGAACAGTAGGCCAACCCCATTTTCCATGATGTGATTATGACACATTGCATGCCTGTAGCAATATCTCATGTACCCCATAAATATATACACATATTATATACTCATAAAAATTAAAAACTAGCTGGGCGTGGTGGCTCACGCCTGTAATCCCAGCACTTTGGGAGGCTGAGGCGGGCAGATCACCTTAGGTCAGGAGTTCGAGACCAGCCTGACCAACATGATGAAACTCCGTCTCTACTAAAAATACAAAAAAAAAAAAAAAAGATTAGCCAGATGTGATGGCGCATTTCTGTAATCCCAGCTACTGGGGAGGCAGAGGCAGGAGAATGGCTTGAACCTGTGAGGCAGAGGTTGCCATGAGCCAAGATTGCGCCATCGCACTCCAGCCTGGGCAACAAGAGTGAAACTCTTGTCTCAAAAAAAAATAAAATAAAATAAAAAATAAAAGGTAGACCGTGTGCAGTGGCTCATGACTGTAATCCCAACACTTGGGGAGGCAAAGGCTGGAGGAGGATCACTTGAGCCCAGGAGTTGGAGGCTGCTGTGAGCTATGATCATACAACTATGCTCCAGCCTAAGTGACAGAGCAAGACTGTGTCTCAAAAAGAAAAACAAGGCCGGGCGCGGTGGCTCAAGCCTGTAATCCCAGCACTTTGGGAGGCCGAGGCGGGCGGATCACGAAGTCAGGAGATCGAGACCATCCTAACACGGTGAAACCCCGTCTCTACTAAAAAAATACAAAAAACTAGCCGGGCGCGGTGGCGGGCGCCTGTAGTCCCAGCTACTCGGGAGGCTGAGGCAGGAGAATGGCGTGAACCCGGGAGGCGGAGCTTGCAGTGAGCTGAGATCCGGCCACTGCACTCCAGCCTGGGCGGCAGAGCGAGACTCCGTCTCAAAAAAAAAAAAAAAAAAAAAAAAAGAAAAACAAACATTGTACCACCTTAAAAAGAAAAAAAAAAAAGTAGCGTTTAATTCACCTACAAGTTGTAATCTTGTATGTTTACATTGACAGGTGAACAGGTAGGACCAGAGTAGGAGATATCATTGAACTGAATGATTTACTTCTTACCACTTACCTTTTTTTCTCTCTTTTTTTTTTTTTTTTTTTTTGAGACAGGGTCTCACTCTGTTGCCCAGGCTAGAGTGCACTGGCATGATCAGGGCTCACTGCAGCCTTGACTCCCAGGCTCAATAGATCATCCCACCTCAGCCTCTCGAGTAACTGGGACCACAGGTGAGCACCACCATGCTCCGCTAGTTTTTTATACTTTTTTGTAGAGATGGGGTTTTGCCATATTGCCCAGGCTGGTCTTGAACTCCTGGGCTCAAGCAAGCCACCCACCTTGGCCACCCAAAGTGCTGGATTACAGGCATGAGCCACTGTACCCAGCCAAATTTTTTTTTTCCTTGAGACAGAGTCTTACTCTGTCACCCAGGCTGGAGTGCAGTGGCACCATCTTGGCTCACTGCAACCTCCACCTCCTGGGTTCAAGTGATTCTCCTGCCTCAGCCTCCCAAGTAGCTGGGACTACAGGCACCCATCACCACGCCTGGTTAATTTTTGTATTTTTAGTAGAGACAGGGCTTTGCCATGTTGGCCAGGCTGGTCTCGAACTCCTGGCCTCGAACTCCTGACCTCATAATCTGTCTGACTTGGCCTCCCGAAGTGCTGGGATTACAGGCATGAGCTGCTGCGCCTGGCCCTAGATTTTTATTTTCCACTCTTTTGCCCAGGCTGGTATGCAGCAGCATGATCACAGCTCACTGCATCCTCCACCTCCTGGGCTCAATCCATCCTCCCAGCTCAGCCTCCCAAATAGCTGGGACCACAGGCGCACACTACCATGACTGGCTAATTAAAAAAAAAAATTTTTTTTGTAGAGATGGGGATCTCCCTATGTTGCCCAGGCTGGCCACTACACCTGGCCCCCCAATTTTTTTTTTTTTTTAAGACAGAGTCTGACTCTGTCACCCAGGCTGGAGTACAGCAGCACATCTCAGTTCACTACAACCTCTACCTCGTAGGTTCAAGCTATTCTCCTGCCTCAGCCTCCCTAGTAGCTGGGACTGCAGGCATGTGCCACTATCCCTAGCAAAAATTTGTATTTTGTGTAGAGACAGGGTTTTGCCATGTTGGCCAGGCTGGTCTCGAACTCCTGACCTCAAGTGATCCACCCACCTTGACCCCAGATATTTTAAACCAATATTTTCTCTTATCTTACTTCATACTGGAAATGATGTATGTTATTTCCTGCCTTGCACCAGAGCTCATTGTTCTCTCTTGTTTGCCCACACTCCAGCAAATAGCATACTGTAGCTACCATGGCAAGTGACAGAGTTCAACAGACTTGGTCATGAAAATGTAATTAGAGGCCGGGCGCGGTGGCTCAAGCCTGTAATCCCAGCACTTTGGGAGGCCGAGACGGGCGGATCACGAGGTCAGGAGATCGAGACCATCCTGGCTAACACGGTGAAACCCCGTCTCTACTAAAAAAATACAAAAAACTAGCCGGGCGCGGTGGCGGGCGCCTGTAGTCCCAACTACTCGGGAGGCTGAGGCAGGAGAATGGCGTGAACCCGGGAGGCAGAGCGTGCAGTGAGCTGAGATCCGGCCACTGCACTCCAGCCTGAGCGGCAGAGCGAGACTCCGTCTCAAAAAAAAAAAAAAAGAAAATGTAATTAGAATTTATGGCTGATTTCTTTCTTCCCTGACATCATAAAGTTGGGAAACAGTGAGAACAAAAACAAAGACTTTTCCCTAGTTCTTTCTCCTTGGGCTGGTTAGACAACTTTCTCCACTCAGAGGTCGTTATTTGGAATTTGTCATTCTTTTCTTTAACTTTTTTTTTTTTTTTTGGACACAGAGTCTTGCTGTGACACCCAGGCTGAAGTGCAATGGCATGGTCTCGGCTCCTTCCAACCTCCGCCCCCCAGGTTCAAGCCATTCTCCTGCCTCAGCCTCCCAAATAGCTGGGATTACAGGCACGTGCCACCACACTGGGCTAGTTTTTGTAGAGACGGGATTTCACCATGTTGGCCAGGCTGGTCTCGAACTCCTGACCTCAGGTGATCTGCCTGCTTTGGCCTCCCAAAGTGCTGGGATTACAGGCATGAGCCACTGCGTTCGGCCATACTTTCCTTAATTCAGTTCGGTGACATACAACAAATGCATGTTGAAAGCTTATCTTGTGCCAGACACTGTGCCTGGCATTTGTGGTTCAAAGTCAAAACTTTTGTCCTTGAGGAGTTCATAGACTAGAAGAGATGGAATCCTAAACAAATAATATGATATGAGCTAGACTAGAAGTGTGTACAAACTCTAGAGGAAACGTTTAGTTACGCCTGGGGAAATCGGGAAACCTCTTAAAGGAGAACTAGGCCTTCACCAAATGGGGAAGGGGGACAGGGTTCTAACAATATGCAACTGTACTCTGAAAGGATCACAGAGACTGTCCTGAGAAAAGGCTTGCTTTCATGTTGAGCGAAGCTAAAGCAAGAGGATTGCATTTTAAATACTTAAAAAGTTAATTTGGTGTTTTCTTTTTCTTTTTTTTTTTTTCATTTCTTCTCTCTCATTACTTACTTCTTGAGGGCTTGGTAAGTACCATTTTAAGGTTAAATGTAATACCCTGTAGACTTCTAATTTAAGACTCAGCCTTACCCCTACAAATGATTTGCTAGTTTTGCTTTTTGTTTTTGAGACTCAAGAAAGACAAGGAAGAATCAGTGTTTGAGAATAAGTTGACAAGACTTTACTACCCTGAAGCATTTTTTTTTTTTTTTTTTTTTTGAGACGGAGTCTCGCTCTGTCACCCAGGCTGGAGTGCAGTGGCCGGATTTCAGCTCACTGCAAGCTCCGCCTCCCGGGTTCACGCCATTCTCCTGCCTCAGCCTCCGGAGTAGCTGGGACTACAGGCGCCCGCCACCTCGCCCGGCTAGTTTTTTGTATTTTTTAGTAGAGACGGGGTTTCACCGGGTTAGCCAGGATGGTCTCGATCTCCTGACCTTGTGATCCGCCCGTCTCGGCCTCCCAAAGTGCTGGGATTACAGGCTTGAGCCACCGCGCCCGGCCTGAAGCATTTTTATTAATTGAAATACAGAAACTACTGGTGGCCAACAGTTAAAATAAGGAGTCACTAGTCAGCGAAACTTACAGATGCTTTTTTTAAACAACATTGTTACCTTCCCATCCCCATTATGTGGCTTTTGGATTTTTTTTTTTTTTTTTTTTTTGAGACGGAGTCTCGCTGTGTCGCCCAGGCTGGAGTGCAGTGGCCGGATCTCGGCTCACTGCAAGCTCCGCCTCCCGGGTTTTTACGCCATTCTCCTGCCTCAGCCTCCCGAGTAGCCGGGACTACAGGCGCCCGCCACCTCGCCCGGCTAGTTTTTCGTATTTTTTAGTAGAGACGGGGTTTCACCGTGTTAGCCAGGATGGTCTCGAACTCCTGACCTCGTGATCCGCCCGTCTTGGCCTCCCAAAGTGCTGGGATTACAGGCTTGAGCCACCGCGCCCGGCCTTTCATTGCCTTAGGCACTTGCCTTTTACTCTTTTGTTTTTGTTTTTGTTTTTTTGAGACAGAGTCTCACCCTATTGCCCAGGCTGGAGTGTAGTGGTGAAAACAAAGCTCACTGCAGCCTCAACCTCCTAGACTCAAGCGATCATCTTGTCCCAGCCTCTTGTGTGACTGGGACCACCATGCCACCACGCCTGGCTAATTTTTTTTTTCTTCGAGACAGGGTCTTGCAAAGCCTTGACCTCTTGGGCTTAAACAATCCTCCCACCTCAGTCACTCAAGTAGCTGGGACTATTGGCATGCACCACCATGCCCAGCTAATTTTTAAAATTTTTTTTGTGGAGATGAAGTCTCACTATGTTGCCCAGGGTGGTCTTGAACTCCTGGGCTCAAGTGATCCTTTTGCCTTGGCCTCCCAAAGTGCTGCGATTACAGGCGTGAGACACCACTCCTGGTGCATTTGATTCTTTTGATTTTGCAGAAGTGGTCTATCGTACATCAAAGGGACTTTGGTGAACCTTAGGAAAGCTGGTTATGAGTTTTAAAGCCTCTCTCCACACCCTTACCCCAGATCTTTTGCAAAATTTGGCTGCACAGAGTAATCAGGAGTTGTGTTATGGTAACTGGCTGTGGAGCATGGCATGTCTTAATTCCTAGAAGGGTATCTTAGCTGAGATAGGTTGTCTCTACCCTAACTAGACCTTTGGAGGGAAAAAAGGCAGTCTTAACAAAAAGCCTCATTGTATTCATATCCTGTTTCCAATGAGGGACAGATAGTTTCTTAAAGAAAACACCCATTTAACAAATTGCCTAGGATGAAATAATTATTCTTACTTTTGAATCTATCATATGAATTGTGTATTTCATTTGGGTTACTGGAAACATCTTATATTTTATTGGTTATGACTGGCTCGAGCAGATTGTTAATGTGCCCTGAGTTTTCCTTTTCCTGCATAATAGACCCAATTGTTTTCTTGCCTTAGAGTGAGCAGGAAAAACAAGAGCGTCTGGAAACCCAAAGGGAGAAGCAGAAAGAACTGATACTGCAGCTCAAGACCCAGCTAGATGACCTGGAAACGTTTGCCTATCAAGAGGGCAGTTACGACTCGCTGCCACAGTCTGTGGTGTTGGAAAGACAGCGGGTGAGCAGACCCCAGAGGCACCTCCACCACTGCCCAAGGTTAACTTGTCCCTTCCGGCATTCACAGGGCATCATCTCTCAGCTCAGTTCTCCTTTGGCCTTACTGAGAATCCCTCTGCTGGCCCAAATCAAAGGGAAATTTTACTACTATAAGGAACCATTCTTTGCTCATACATGGAAGACACAGGTTCCAAAGTTTTGTAATGTAATAATTGAGCTCTTTCTTTTTGGTGGTTGTAATTAATAATAGAAATAAGAATATGGCCGGGCGCGGTGGCTCAAGCCTGTAATCCCAGCACTTTGGGAGGCCGAGACGGGTGGATCACGAGGTCAGGAGATCGAGACCATCCTGGCTAACACGGTGAAACCCCGTCTCTACTAAAAATACAAAAAACTAGCCGGGCGAGGTGGTGGGCGCCTGTAGTCCCAGCTACTCCAGAGGCTGAGGCAGGAGAATGGTGTAAACCCGGGAGGCGGAGCTTGCAGTGAGTTGAGATCCGGCCACTGCATTCCAGCCCGGGCGACAGAGCAAGACTCTGTCTCAAAAAAAGAAATAAGAATATGACAATAATTTCATTTGATCACTTAAAAAATTCTACTTGGGCCCATTATACAATGTAATCTAGCTTTTTTGTTTTGTGGTTTTTTTTTTGTTTGTTTTTGTTTTTGAGATGGAGTTTCGCTCTTGTTGCCCAGGCTGGATTGCAATGGCGCCATCTCAACTCACCACAACCTCCGCCTCCCAGGTTCAAGCAATTCTCCTGCCTCAGCCTCCCAAGTAGCTGGGATTATAGGCATGCGCCACCATGCTGGGCTAATTTTGTAATTTTAGTAGAGACGGGATTTCTCCATGTTGGTCAGGATGGTCTCGAACTCCCAACCTCAGGTGATCCGCCCGCCTTGGCCTCCCAAAGTGCTGGGATTACAGGCATGAGCCACCGTGCCTGGCCGTAATCTAGCTTTCTCCTACTACTGACCACCTTTTGATAAACATGCCAGGAATCCAGACTGGTTTTAATACTGTATTTATTTATGTAAGACCTGGGTAGACAGGTAAATCTGCTGGTGGAGATACAGTTACAACCTCCCCTGCATGTTTCTCTACCCCTGTGCTGTGGCTGTTTTTCTGGCTGGTCCGGAGTTTATGTTGTCAGATTTTTTTTTTTTTTTGAGACAAAGTCTCAGTTTGTCACCTAGGATGTAGTATAGTGGCATGATCTTGGCTTACTGCAACCTCCACCTCCAGGGTTCAAATGATTCTCCTGCCTCAGCCTCCCGAGTAGCTGAGATTATAGGCACCTGCCACCATGGCCGGCTAACTTTTGTATTTTTAGTAGAGATGGGATTTCACCATGTTGGCCAGGATGGTCTTGAGCTCCTGACCTCAAATGATCCACCCGCTTTGGCCTCCCAAAGTGCTGGGATTACAGGTGTGAGCCACTGCACCCAACCTATTATCAGAATTTTAAATTGTTCCTAATAATGTCACTAGGGTATTTTGCACCTTGATATTTTATAGAGATTTTTCTTTAGTTGCCTACAGTAGAGCAAGAAGGGATAAGAAGGATTAGAAATTAAGAAAAATTGGCCAGGCACAGTAGCTTACGCCTGTAATCCCAGCACTTTGGGAGGCCGAGGCGGGCATATCCCAAGGTCAGGACATCAAGACCATCCTGGCCAACATGGTGAATCCCCGTCTCTACTTAAAATACAAAAAATTAGCTGGGAGTAGTGGCGGGCGCCTATAGTCTCAGCTACTCGGGAGGCTGAGGCAGGAGAATGGCATGAACCCGGGATGTGGAGCTGGCAGTGAGCCGAGATTGCACCACTGCACTGTAGCCTGGGTGACAGAGCGAGACTCCATCTCAAAATAAATAAATGAATAAAAGTAAGAAAAATCGGCTGGGTGCGGTGGCTCATGCCTATAATCCCAGCACTTTGGGAGGCTGAGGTGGGAGGATCTCTTGAGGCCAGAAATTTGAGGCCAGCCTGGGCAACATAACAAGACCCCGTCTCTACGAAAAATTGAAAGATTAACCAGGTGGTAGCGTGTGTCTATAGTCCCACCTATGGGGGAGACCAAGGCAGAAGGATTGCTTGAGCGCAGGAGTTTGAGGTTACAATGAGCTATGATCACATTACTGGACCCTAGCGTGGCTGACTGAGCAAGACCCTGTCTCTTAAAAATCAGTGTATATTCTCCTTGAATGAAGCCTTTAGAGCAACTAAGTATAAGGCTTGTTGGATCATCAGCCACTTTGGATTTTTCATACTGTTGTTCTTCTGAGTGAAATCTGACTAGCCTGGTAGAAATTTACTGTGAGTGGGAGGATCCATTTTTATCAGAGAACTAAGGGTTCTTTTTACTTTAAAAGTAGAGAGTCTGTGTCCTCACCTTGATCAATCAGTAGTTAAGTCATTTTCTTTCACAAATTTAGAGGTCTGTTTTTTTACTTCCATTTAAGGACAGAAGACATATTTAGATTCTCCTCCCTAACCCTCTCCCTAAAAATTTCCAAAGGGTGTGCTCATTGCCTGTGATCTTGATAGGTGATCATAGATGAGTTAATAAAGAAACTGGACATGAATCTGAATGAGGACATCAGTTCCCTGTCCACTGAAGAGCTTCGTCAGCGCGTAGATGCAGCAGTGGCTCAGATCGTCAACCCAGCCCGAGTCAAAGAACAGTTGGTTGAACAACTAAAAACTCAGATCCGAGACCTCGAGATGTTCATCAACTTCATCCAAGGTTAGATGTCATAATAATTATATTCTGAGTACTAGTAAAAAGGTGCCAATTCTGGGTTTTTTTTTTTTTTTGAGACAACGTTTCGCTCTGTTCCCCTGGCTGGAGTGCAGTGGCGCAATCTTGGCTCACAGCAACCTCCAGCGCAATCTTGGCTCACAGCAACCTCCGCCTCCCAGATTCAAGCGATTCTCCCGCCTCAGTCTCCCGAGTAGCTTGGATTACAGGCTCCCGCCACCACGCCTGGCTAATTTTTGTATTTTTAGTAGAGACGGGGTTTCAGTCTCTACTAAAGAGAGTAGAGACTGTTGGCCAGGCTGGTCTCGTACTCCCGACCTCAAGTGATCCGCCCACCTCAGCCTCCCAAAGTACCGGGACTACAGGCATGAGCCACCACGCCCGGCCAAAAGGTGCCAATTCTTGATGTACTGTTTAAGAGGCTTGATGGCTTAGTAGGGGAAACAGCATTGGCAGCGTAGAAAGAGCATGGGTTTCAGAATCAGATAGTTAAAAGCTCCACTCTCCTACTCATTGGTTTTATGTCGTTGAGCATGTTACTAACCTCTTTAGTCTTACTCTTCTCATCCATAAAATGATTCATGGTTCATTCACTTAGCAAATATTTATTGAGCCAACTACTGTATGCCAGTCCTCATTTTACACAATTAAATAGGACAAGATTTTGTGAAATTCTTGTTTGTAATAGGCACCGTTAAGTATTATTTTTCCTTTAAAGATCTGCCATAAAGAGCTAAATAAGTGTCTCTCCTATAATTTCTGATTCCAGATGAAGTGGGAAGCCCCTTGCAGACAGGTGGTGGACACTGTGAGTGCAAGGCCCGTGGGAAGACAGGAAATGGCTGCAGCAGAACAGGCAGCAGCAGACCGCCTCCAGGAGACAGCAGAAGTAAGTATAATTTCCAGAACAGGCAAATCTCTAGAGACAGAAAGTAGATGAGTGGTTGCCTAGGGCTTGGGTATGCTGAGGAGAAGAGGGAAATGAGAAATGCTGATGGTATGGAATTGCTTTTGGGGAGGATGAAATATTCTAAAATCGATTGCAGTGACAGTTATACAATTCTGAATATACTAAAAACCACTGAATTAAACACCTTAAATGGGTGAATCATATGGTATGTGAATTATATCTCAATACAGTTATTATTAACCAAAAAAAGGAGGCCCAGCTACATCCTGGGTGGCTCTTGCCTTCATGTGAGACCCAGCATGTGGCTCAGACTGATCTCAGCCTGAGATTTGTTGAATGTAGCTCCGTGCCATCATGGCCTCTTACTAATGAACCATTGTCTTTTCTAAGCAGCAAAGGCGGAGGATGTGAAGAAAGTCCGGGAGACAGGGCTGCACCTGATGAGGCGAGCGCTGGCAGTGCTCCAGATCTTTGCTGTTAGCCAATTTGGTTGTGCCACAGGCCAGATCCCTCCAACCCTGTGGCAGAGGGGCCAGGCTGACCGAGACTACTCTCCCTTGCTAAAGAGGCTGGAGGTGTCAGTGGACAGAGTGAAGCAGCTAGCCTTGAGGCAGCAGCCACACGACCATGTCATCACCTCTGCCAACCTCCAGGACCTCTCTCTGGGAGGCAAGGATGAGCTGACTATGGCTGTGCGGAAGGAGCTGACGGTGGCTGTAAGGGACCTGCTGGCCCATGGACTGTATGCCTCCTCCCCAGGGATGAGTCTTGTTATGGCTCCTATTGCTTGTTTGCTGCCAGCCTTCTCCTCGGCCCCTGAGGCCATGCACCCCTGGGAGCTCTTTGTAAAGTACTACCATGCTAAGAACGGCCGTGCTTATGTGGAATCCCCAGCCCGGAAGCTCTCCCAGTCCTTTGCCCTTCCTGTTACGGGAGGCACTGTTGTGACCCCCAAACAGAGCCTGCTGACAGCGATCCACATGGTGCTGACAGAGCACGACCCTTTTAAGCGCAGTGCAGACTCAGAATTGAAGGCCTTGGTGTGCATGGCACTGAATGAGCAGCGTCTGGTGTCCTGGGTGAACCTCATCTGCAAGTCTGGGTCACTCATCGAGCCTCACTACCAGCCCTGGAGCTACATGGCACACACAGGCTTTGAGAGCGCCCTCAACCTGCTCAGTCGCCTCAGCAGCCTCAAGTTTAGCCTCCCTGTAGATCTGGCTGTGCGCCAGCTCAAAAACATCAAAGATGCCTTTTGATAAGAGTGCCCTAACCCCAGACAAGCTCCTTGCTCAGTGGAGATAGATGTGTTAGTCTTCCAGCATAGGAGCAAGGAATCAAAGGTGGGGTTAAAGGCTTTTTTGCCAGACCCTGCTCAGGCAGTTGGCCAAATGAGTGCAAAGTCTGTTTTCCCCACCAACTTAGCATCTCGGAAAGATGTGCTGGAGAGACCCTCTTGGTAAGAAGGTTCTACCAGACCGGGCACGGTGGCTCACGCCTGTAATCCCAGCTACTCAGGAGGCTAAGACCGGAGAGTTGCTTGAGCCCAGGAGGTGGGGGTTGCAGTGAGCCGAGATTATGCCACTGCACTCTGTCTGGGCAACACAGGGAGACTCCATCTCAAAAAAAAGAAGACATTCAACTTGAGGCTCCTGTTAGTTGAGCTATCTTCTTTCACTTGAAGCAGGTTTGAGAGGCCAAGGCCAGAATTTAAGTTCCTTTTATGAATAGATTTCCTTTTCTTCCTGACCCCAAGGTCAGAGGAGACTGTATATTCCATTTCTGCCTCTAAGACTAGGAATAGGAATATCTGAAACAACATTTCTAAGGGTGGTGACCACAGGTTGATTTTAATACGAGCCTTTTTTCTTGTAGAGGTAAGAAGTAAAATCTTCCTGACAAGGTAGTCCTCACGGCACAGACAATGGGCTTTCTGTTTATGAGGGGTGAGAACCGTGTTCGTTATTATGTTCTTTAGCAAGTAAACATTCCTCTGCTCACCTCCCAACAAGACTAACACAGTCTTTAGAAGTAAATATATTCAAGACAAACGAGAAAATCCTGGCTACCCAAGTCGAGTATGTACAGGAATACAAATCGGTAACCAGCAGCTGTTCCTCAGGTTGTGACTCACTAAGCACCACTTGTCCTGGAGGCTGGATGATGGAGGACATCTGGTTATAGGTACTGCAGCGGAGATAGGTGCCACAGGAGGATAGGAACTACAGCAGATCACTGTTTCCAGAACAGGGGGAGGAGTATCTCATTGTGAAATAGACTCTAGAGTGGTTCTATTTGGTCTTCAGTATTTTAGCCTCATTAGTTCACATTTGTCATGCAGCTTGTGGTGAGTGCTGCTCTAGGACTGGCCAAAGATGGGCAAAATGGATCACTCCAGACACTACTAATTCAGCATTGTTTTCATGTCTTAAAATTGCCACCTGCACTTTGTTTCTGCACTATTATGTAGTGCATTTTAACTTAAATTTTTTCCAGCAACATGTTACTTATTTAAGATACATTATTGATACTTCATTATAATTAGTACACCTTCCCTGTGAAACAAGAGAATTGTAAAATGTTGTGGAAAATGATACCTATGTGGATGCTAATGAAATCGTAGTATTTCCTGTAGCTTCTCTGAAGACCTTAGAGACCCGCAGCTTTGGTTTGTAAGTGTTTGGGCCTTATCAGCCCATCTGATCCAGATCAATATTTTTTTTAAAGCTGCCTATATCCTCTATCCTTTGCGATGGATCATCTCACCTTTGGTGGTGGTAGTAGGGGTTTTTTGCCTGAAAAAGTTCACTAAAAAGTCCCCTTGGCATGACCATCCCCTCCTGCCCACGCCCATAGTCCCTCCCCACAACAGATGTCACACATGCTGCTTTTGGAATTGGCACTGTTTTTGTTTTTGTTTTTGTTTTTGTTTTGAGACAGAGCCTCGCTCTGTTGTCCAGGCTGGAGTGCAATGGCGCGATCTCAGCTTACTGCAACCTCTGCCTCCTGAGTTCAAGCAATTCTCCTCCCTCAGCCTTCTGAGTAGCTGGGATTACAGGCGCACACCACCATGCCCGACTAATTTTTGTTTTTTGGTTTTTGTTTTGTTTTTTTGAGACGGAGTCTCACACCGTCCCCCAGGCTGGAGTGCGATGGCGCAGTCTCAGCTCACTGCAACCTCCACCTCCCGGGTTCAAGCAATTCTCCTGCCTCAGCCTCCTGAGTAGCTGGGATTGCAGGCACCCGCCACCACGCCCAGCTAATTTTTGTATTTTTAGTAGAGATGGGGTTTCACCATGTTGGTCAGGCTGGTCTTGAACCCCTGACCTCATGATCCACCCGCCTCAGCTTCCCAAAGTACTGGGATTACGGGCATGAGCCACCGTGCCTGGCCCAAACTTTTGTATTTTTAATAGAGATGGGGTTTCACCACATTTGTCAGTCTGGTCTTGAACTCCTGATCTCAGGTGATCCACCTACCTTGGCCTCCCAAAGTGCTGGGATTATAGGTGTGAGCCACCGCACCTGGCCAGGATTGGCACTTTTAAATCCACTTGTCTGGATATCAGGGTGGGTGGTAACTGGTATAGCCATGTGGCATAGCCCAGCGATCACCCCAGTATTGCCTTTTTCAAATACAAAAACAAAACTTGTATTAAGGCCTCATGCTAGCATTACAGGAAGCATTTTCATTTGTCTCATTCTAATTTAATTCTCACTACTTACAAGGTGGGACAGTATTATCCTCACTTTACAGCTGAGGAAACTGAACTGCAGAGAGGTTAAATATTCTGTCCCCATTTACATGATGATGGAATTCCTGAGATTTGGAGTCAAGTTTCCTGAATCCAAAGCCCATAGTCTATCTTGTTACTTCATTGTATCATGTTTCTAGATTTTGGTTCCTCTTTCTCCTTTATCCGCCACCTTCATTCCTACCCTCACTATGGGCAGGAGAAGGTATTTTCCACACAATTGCCAGAAATTTCAGCTCCGAAAGGACTATACTGCAGGGAGACAGGCAGGCAGCCATGACTTTGATGTCCAAGTTCTTGAAACCTAAATGTGTGTATCAACTGAGACAATTCGAACAATTCCATCAGCATCCCTGCAGTCAGATATCTGCTAAGTTCTGATATCATCTGTCATTACTGGGAACAGAGCTCTGTCCTTGGTTTAGGGTGAGACAGGACAAGGGAGGAGAGACAGGCCAGTCCACCCATATCCAAGGATACGCAAGAATGGAAGGGTAAAGAGCCATGGATGTGTATGCAGGGGAAGTGTAGGGTGTGTTGTACAAGTATGATCTGCGAAGTATTGTTAAAGCTGTTTAAGGTGCTCTCCAATCATTCATTCACTATTGATCACTTAGCAACTGCCTGCCCAGGCTAGATGCTAAAGAAACAGGTAAGTAAATCTACCCCGTGCCCTCAACAAACACAATCGAGCAAAGGAGATACCATACCAATTGGAGATTTGGAAAAATTGTTAAAATATAAATTGCTGGCCGGGCGCGGTGGCTCAAGCCTGTAATCCCAGCACTTTGGGAGGCCAAGACAGGCGGATCACGAGGTCAGGAGATCGAGACCATCCTGGCTAACGGTGAAACCCCGTCTCTACTAAAAAAATACAAAAAGCTAGCCGGGCGACGTGGCGAGCGCCTGTAGTCCCAGCTACTCGGGAGGCTGAGGCAGGAGAACGGCGTAAACCCGTGAGGCGGAGCTTGCAGTGAGCTGAGATCCGGCCACTGCACTCCAGCCCGGGGACAGAGCGAGACTCCGTCTCAAATAAATAAATAAATAAATAAATAAATTGCTAGGCCGGGCGCGTGGCTCACGCCTGTAATCCCAGCACTTTGGGAGCCGAGGTGGGCGGTCACGAGGTCAGAGATCGAGACATCCTGGCTAACACAGTGAAACCCCATCTCTACTAAAATACAAAAATAGCCGGGCATGGTGGGGGCGCCTGTGGTCCCAGCTACTCGGGAGGCTGAGGCAGGAGAATGGCGTAAACCCGGGAGGCGGAGCTTGCAGTGAGCCGAGATTGTGCCACTGCGCTCCAGCCTGGGTGAGAGTGAGACTCCATCTCAAAAAAAATATATATATATATATATATAAATTGCTGGGTCCCATCCCCAGAGTTTTTTATTCAGTTGTTTTGGGGTGGGGCGTGAGAATTTGGTTTCTAACAAGTTCCTAGGTAATGGTGATGCTGCTGCTCTGGGAAGCACACTGAGATGAGAACCACTCATATCCAAACTAAGATTATGTTCTGTAATAAAGGTAAGTACAGATTGGATTGCTGAGAGAGCCCAGAGAAAGGAGAGATTAATTCTGCCTGGGAGAATTCTGGAATAACCTTGAAGGATGGATAGAATTTGAATAGGATTTTGCCTGGCTACTTGGAGAGGAAGAAAAAGACACAAGGAACAGCCCAGGGAGTATGAAGGGTGGGGGAGTCAGGAATTTATGCTGCAGGAAAGGTGGCAAGGAAGGAAAGGAGTGAAAGTTCACACTATTGAATAAGCCAACAATGGATTTCAAGAAAAGTGAAGGACTTCTCAAGAAAAAGTTATTTAAAGCTGTTGTTCAAAATAAGATCTATAGATCAGGCCGGGCGCGGTGGCTCAAGCCTGTAATCCCAGCACTTTGGGAGGCCGAGACGGGCGGATCACGAGGTCGGGAGATCGAGACCATTCTGGCTAACACGGTGAAACCCGTCTCTACTAAAAATACAAAAACTGCCGGGCGAGGTGCGGGTGCCTGTGTCCCAGCTACTCGGAGGCGAGGCAGGAGAATGCGTAAACCCGGGAGGCGGAGCTTACAGTGAGCTGAGATCCAGCCACTGCACTCCAGCCTGGACCACAAAGCGAGACTCCGTCTCAAAAAAAAAAAAAAAAAAAAGATCTATAGATCATATGGCTCCACTCCAGACCAGAATTACCATCTCTAAGGTTGGAGACACTTAATAAGCATCCTGGGGGCCGGGCACGGTGGCTTACGCCTGTAATCCCAACACTTTGGGAGGTCGAGGTGGGCGGATCATGAGGTCAGCAGATGGAGACCATCCTGGCTAACACCATGAAACCCTGTCTCTACTAAAAAATACAAAAAATTACTCGGGCGTGGTGGCAGGCGCCTGTAGTCCCAGCTACTTGGGAAGCTGAGGCAGGAGAATGGTGTGAACCTGGGAGGCGAAGTTGCAGTGAGCCGAGATCGCGCCACTGCACTCCAGCCTGGGAACAAGCGGGAGACTCTGTCTCAAAAATAATAATAATAGTAATATAATAATAAGCATCCCGACTGGGCACGGTGGCTCACACCTGTAATCCCAGCACTTTGGGAGGCCAAGGTGGGTAGTCAGGAGTTCGAGACCAGCCTGGCCAACATGGTGAAACCCCATCTCTACTAAAGATGCAAAATTAGCCGATACAAAATTGCTGGGCATGGTGGCATGTGCCTGTAGTCCCAGTTACTTGGGAGGTTGAGGCAGGAGAATTGCTGGAGCTCAGGAGGCTGATGTTGCAGTGAGCCAAGATCATGCCACTGCACTCCAGCCTAGGCGACAAAGTGAGACTCCATCTCAAAAATAAAAGACAAGACAAAATTCAGAGGATTTAGTTACTAATTTGATTTGGAGGGTAAGGTGGCTTAGTCCCAGCTACTTGGCAAGCTGAAATGGGAGGATCGCTTGAGGCTAGGAGTTTGAAGCTACATCACACCTGTCAATAGCCACTGCATTCAAGCCCGGCAACATAGCAAGACCTCATCTCTTTAAAAAATGAAATATATAAGAAAAAGACATTTTAAAAACTACTGGAGGCCAGGCGTGGTGGTTCATGCCTGTAATCCCAGCACTTTGGGAGTTTGACGCAAGCGGATCACTTGAGGCCAGGAGTTCAAGACCAGCCTGGCCAACATGGTGAAACCCCATCTCTACAAAAAATATAAAAATTAGCTGGGTGTGGTGGTGGGAGCCTATAGTTCCAGCTACTTAGGAGGCTGAGGCAGGAGAATCGCTTGAACCTGGGAGGTGGAGGTTGCAGTGAGCTGAGATCGTGCCACTGCACTCCAGCCTGGGTGACAAAGTGAGACTCCGTCTGAAAAAAAAAAAAAAATTGGAATGGGGCCGGGCACAGTGCCTTTGCCTGTGATCCCAACACTTTGGGAGGCTCAGGTAGGAGGATCACTTGATCCCACAAGTTTTTGAGACCAGCCTGGGCAATATAGTGAGTCCCCATCTCTACCAAAACAAGAAAAAGTTCTTTGTTATTGGTTTTTTTTAATTACATGGTCATGGTGGCCCACACCTGAAGTCCTAGCTACTCAGGAGGCTGAGGTGGGAGGATCATGAGCCCAGGAGTTGAGGCTGCAGTGAGCCATGATTGTGCTACACACTTCAGCCTGGAGGACAGAGCGAGACCCAGTCTCTCAAAAAATCAAAACAAAACAAAAGCCATTGCAATGGGATCCTGAGGGATACAGGGAAAATTGTATCACTGGAGAGCTTCAGAAGAGAACTGATGAAATCCTGATTGTTCCCACGTCTTGCCCAAGACAAATCCTATAGGTTCAGATAAGCAAAAACTGTGAGATAGTTTCTCTTTCCCTTAAACTCAGAAAGCACATAAGGTACCATCTGAAAACACTCTTCTGGTGAGTGATGGGAAGTATAATTCAGTTTGAGAGCCAACTAGACCTAGATTCAGACCTAGATTTGAATCCTGTCTA